TTCACTGAGGGGTGTTTATATAAAAAAAAAAGGAAAAGAAAAAATGTTCTCGTTGGGAAAGAATTTTTCCCGTTTTCTGCGGTGTGCGAACACTCGATTGGGATCAAACCCTCTAATTTTGCTTGTAATAGCTCGTCTTTATTGCTTACTGGAAGGAGGGTGGACCCTTGCTGAGGAATCTAAGGAAACTCACGGGAAGTTATAGAAGGGTCTCTCGCGCGCGCGGCGTGTTTTAGATAAATGGATGTCGATTGTGTGTGTATGTTTGCCTTTCTCGAGATTTTTAAGAGTCGAAATCGCTGTAACGGTATTATATAAATGGAGTGCTGCATTTCAATCGGGAGATACTGTCGTTCGTTCTATGCTATTGTGAATGAATTGTGTTTAGAGTGCTTAGATCCTGAATAAAGAAAAATATTGCTTGCCCATAAATGCGCTACAATAATATTTTTATCAAATTTGGGTATAACTGAATAGTTGTAGATTTTGATGTTATTTAATCCTAAATAAATATATAACATGTAATACTTTAGATTAATATTTATCTTAGAATATACAGAAGCTGCGGATGTCTTACTATACTGTTCTCGGATCTGATAATTTTAATTAGGTATAGCTTAACTTTGACAATAGACAAGATAAATTTCTTTTAACTAAGATTGCATTATAAAAATTTATAATAAAAATGTTTTTTTTTATTAATTTAATAATTAATGAGAAATACTAAAGTAGTATTGTTAATAAATTGTGGAAAATTATATAATATAGATAATATTTTTGTTCACGAATGCAATAATGCACAATTTTAATTGTGTATATAATTATAAAGAGCGTCATACATGATATGTTTTAATCATCATATATAATAATTCTAATATTTGTACAATATATTTTTAATATAAATACGTACACACACATTTACATACATTTTACACTGCAGTTACAAAGTATGTTTATTATGCTTAAAATCGATTAAAAATACATTTTTTTTGTATAAAAATTTGGTAAGAAATATTAATATTCCGCGTAATAAGAAATCATTTGAGACTATAGTAATATTTATTCTAAAGAAATTACAAAGAGAATTTTCTCTTATTGTTAGAATTTACACTGAAAATCATGGTAATCATGAGACAATATATGATATTAGAAAAATTTTATAAGAGTTTTCTGATTAATATTTTTCACAATAAAAATAATATTAACGGAAAAAGTGATCTGATTGCTAGTTGAATTTTTAAAACCAAATTAGACAGGAATCAATTGACCGACACCGGCAAAGTTAAAAATCTTTTATTAAAAAAGAAACGACGTTTTGACCCCAATTGGATCCTCTTCAGGCTGTTAATTAAAATACATATTGAAATAACCAAATAATCAGGTAACTGTCAGTTGTAACCAAGCAAAAATGACAGTCTTGAAAGTAAAAATAGGAACCGAAAGTTCACTTTGACATATAAATTTACACGTGTAAATACGTGTAATAAATTTACTATGTATACATTAATATTATTTTATTATAGTATAAATATTAACAGAGAAATTTGTATAAAATTCTTCCATTATCATTTTCAGGATAAATGATAAAAGAAAATTCTGCATGCGAATACATTTCACACACTTACTCAATTATAAATATTTATTATGCTTAAAATCAATTAAATATGTTAATTATGGAATGAAAACTCACTAAGAGAATATTAATTAATATTCCGCGAAATCATCGCCGACATATTTATTCTGAAAAAGAAAAACACCTGTGAACGCCAGGTAGATCTCGCTCACCTGTATCGGTGACGAATCAGCGGCGAAGATCAACCCTTCCTCGTCGCGAGGTGCACAGGTACACCTATCTATTTCCATACAGGCTCGTTCGCCTTCTATTGAATACGAAAAAAGGGGGAACTTGGCACCTGTCATCGGTGCATGGCCATGCAAATACATACTTGCACTCACGATGAATAAAAAAGAGGGTCCTCGTATATATGGCGAAGGGAGAAAAGGGTTCGCTCTCTTCTCGCGCCAGCACTTTATTCAGATTAGGGACGACCGACCCGCCGTGGCATTTAAATGCCGACCCTTCGGTAACGCCACTTGATCCTTTTGATTTTACACGGCGGCAAGTGTGTTTTCACCCTTCATCGCTATAGACGGAACTCCGCCCAGGGAGCGATCCTTCTTCGTCCTGGAACCGGATCACATGTTTCTATTTCCTCCCTCTCAACCCCATCCTGCCTCCTCGTCAGGACGCTTAATAATAATTCATATTAAAGACCATCGACGTCGCGAAATAGGTACGTTGTTGACACAACATTACGGACGTTTCCTCCTCCTCTTCCTTCAAGTGGCTCTCGCGAGTTTACTCGATTACGTCAACGGGAAGAGAATAGTCTCCAAACTTGGAACACGCTTTGGCGCGAAATGCCATCAATTATTCGATATATAATTCCAAAAGGACAGATGAATCAGGTGATCTTCCCGAGTCTCTTTGGGAAAGGATTTTTTTTTTCGCGCAGAGAACTGACTTATTATAATCAGAGTGCGCGTACATATTATTCGCGCCTCTCTCGTGACTTCGTGTCGGTGTAGGGGCGTCATTAAAATCAATACCGGCTCGCTCTCTTTCCTTCCTTCTCTATTCCTTCCCTCGTTCCCATATTATCTCCATCCTCGTCGGGTCCACGATGGACGAGGGTGGCGGAACCGAGGTAGGGGTTTTGCCCCTTCTTATGTATCCGGTCCGGCGTGTGCGAGGCGAAGGACGAAGGAAATGTTAGTGGGGACCTAGCAGGAAGGTTGGCGAGAGAAAGAAAGAGAGAAGGAATAAGCACGAGGAAGACGAAACCACCCTCTCGGGTGGCCGGGGGTGGATAAGGATGGCACGATAAGTGGAAGGCTGCGTTTGTGATGCGAGGTACACGCGATAAGAAGTGGGGAAGGGATAGCGTTCCCATGGCCAATAAGAACCTCTTTAAAGCGCCCTTTTTGCGCACGGGACTGCGCATGCCGGATTCAAATCTGGGCGAGCTAGGTATCGAGTAGGAAAAGGTAGGGGTGGAAAGCGACGACGAGGACGACGATGGAGGGTGGTAAAAGTGCTGGTGGTGGTGGCTGGTGGTGGTGGTGGTGGACGTCGGCTGTATGGAAATATGATAGCGCGATAAGAAAAAGAAGAAAGGCACTCTCTCTGACGCCTATATACGTGTGTGCAACGCGAAAGGGGGATATAGGAGTGGGGAGAACCGCCACGGTTCTCGCGACCAATAAAAGGGCTAGTTTAAGCGTCTTATTTTTTTGCACCGACACTGCGCATGCTGAATTCAAATCTTGGGAGTGGTGAGGCTGGATGGATTTGTATGGAAATATGATAGGTGCGAGAGAGGTGCTTTCTCTTTCCCAGCTCGGCGGAGCCATGGCGGCTCCGATAGGGAGGGTTTATGGACGTTCGACTTACCCTCGTCGCCGATATTTTCACGGTTATATTTTTATATCGCATTTATAACCCGTTTCGCCGTTCGCTATTTCGAGCGACGCCAAAATCGATTCGAAATATTAAGATTCTGTCAATTCATTTGATCATATGTGGCATGGGAACGTTACATATGTACATTTTACATATACACTTATTTCAAGTACAATTGGGCTCTTAAACTTTCCAACAAGGGAAAAGAACCAGGGTAATAAATACGTTGTGTTACAACGTACTGTTATTTTGTATGTATTAATTTGTTGAGTACAATGTCTTGTGTTCCTGTTAGCAGGAACATACCGTAGGTCAGCACAATAATCACATTGTTTGGCAAATCGCCCTCTCGAACGATCTCAACCTGTAACTGTACCCACCTGCTGCCATATCATCGAACCGTAACACAAGCTCTCAATCCTTAGGTATATCAATCTAGAGATCTCCAGAGAAGAAATCTCAATGCATCTATCATGATCTCGCGATGGACGAGTTGACACAAATTCTTAAATACTTTTCAAATATCGGGTAATTAGGAAGAAAAGGTATACATGATATTTTTTAATTTAAAAAATCTTGGAAATATGCAAAATATATATGATATATACCTAATATATGAAATTTTATTTGTCATAGTATTTTTATTATTTATAGAAGAACAAATAAGAGTTAATAAATTAATTTCGAAATATCGAGTATCCCTGAGATATTTAAACGCAATTTTGCCACATATTATTTTACGATCTAATGACTCGAAATATGCAAAACATCTTGAAATGATTTCCGATTTCCGAGAACAATTTCGGTAATATATTGTGGCCATAACAATAAGGATTTGCGTGGGTGGTCTAGCGTGAGAGACTTCTCAGCCTTCCTCCGGCTAATTTTATCTCCAATCCTTCCTTACGTCCGCGCTAACCGCACTATCTTATATTATATTATCCGGTAGTTGCGCGTCCACGTGGGGTTATGTCAGAAAATACATTTCAACGAATATACATATACAACTCGCGATTTTTCGCGCGTCATTCCGCCGTCAGAGCCCAGTGAACGCATCTTCGTCATTATCCTGTGCGCGCGGTGAACTCTTATCGATCTCCAGTTTCTGGAGCAACGAGGCTCCTTGACAATTCGAGGCTGGCTGGAACGCGCTCTCGTCACATCCGCGTGACGGAAAAAAACATGCGAATCGAACCGGTCCGGCGCAACTCGTAGCCGGATTGGACGGTTGCGCCTGAATCAAGCCCGAATTTAATTCTTAAGCATCGGTCACGGAACGGGTCCTTAAGTATCAAGGTCTAATCGTCGTCATCTTGGCGGGAGTGGGGCAGGTAGCGCAGCGATTGGCGGCTAAAGCGTTGTATATGCAAATCCCATATGCTCTCTCTCTCTCTTTCTCTCCACGACTTCGCGGGGACCAGCGGAGTCGCGGCCGAGATGCACGCGAGATGAAAAAGGCGCGCTCTCGCTCGCGCGAGTTCTCTCCGGAACTCGCCTTTGGCTCGCCGGGCGGAGCCGCGTTTCCCTGCGATTGGAGGCGTCTTTCCCCACCGACGCGTCGCGGTGCCCCTCTTCCCTTCACTCATGACAATCGTGCCGGCTCTCTGTGTCGGTGTTGCCTGCCGCCACGGCTTCTCTCTCTTTCTCTCTTCTCTCTGTCCCGTTCACGAACGCTCCCTCCTTGTCTCTCGCTTCAGCCTTTTCTGGAGAGAGAGAGAGAGAGACCTAACGACTCCCCCACCTCGGCTTACACCGAACCGTGGACGCGGCCGCCGCTCGTCGTGGCGGGTAGGACGTACGTGAGTCCTCTAGTGTAGCTGCACACATGCACGCGATAGCATCTGACCAGCCGCCGCCGCTCTGTAAACCATCAGAGCCGTCGCATAATCTCTCGCTCGAGGTGCCACGCCGCGCGAGTATAGACACAGATCAACGTCGGGATAGGTAGATCGATCCTAGAGTCCGAGTTGACGGTCCAAGTTAGCCACCCGAGTGTGTTTGTTGTCCGGGACCGGCTGTATTTCGTGCTGTGTCGAGACACCTGATCAGCGACTTGGCTGACGACGAGGAAAATACACGCAGATTATAGATAAAAAGTGGTGAATCCTGGTGTAGTGACCTCTGAGGAGTCGATGATATCGGCGTAGAGAGATAGTTTGTTGATGATTGTTCCTGCGGCGAGCGTTCTTATCTCTGGCGTTTCAATGACAGTTGCGAATGACATTGGCGTAAAGACTTGCGAAGGCAGCTTGGAGCAAAACGATTGACACAGTGTGTTTTTTATTTTTGATTGCAGCACCAGTGTGTGTTTTGTTATCTCCACGACCGATGGTTCCTGGTCGTCGTCTTGGAAATGATGTGCTGAGATCGAGAGACAGGGCGATCCACGATGATGCGAAGTTTGTGATGAAGGTGAAGATTTTGTTCTTTACGCAAGCGACAGCGACGATCAAGTGTTTTTCGCGCAGAAGTGGACAAGTCGTGTATTGAAAACCACCGTACACAATTGTGCATATAGACGTGACTGTGAAGAACAACTCGCCAGCTCGGGTGTGCAGTGCATTTGTTTGAGCAAGCAGTACTATGTGTCGTCGAGAAATCGAAGACATCAATTAGACTTGATAGAAGCGACAAGGTGGATGCCACAAGGTTTCGGAGCCATCATCAGGAACCAAATAATACAGCATCTCAGTAGTTCTACGAGCGATGATAGCCGACGCGGGTCATTGAGTCATCAGCGTACGACCTTCCGCTGCGTGGACCTTGCGGGTGGGATTCTTCGTCGACAGCAGGTGAATCCAGCAGGTGACCACGTTGGATCTCGCGGCGTTGGCTGCTTACGGGGGCGTTTCGGGACCCAGGGTCGCGGTGGCGGGCACCGGGGTCCTCGCGCTACCCGGCCTGATACCCGACAAGGGTCTATCATCGCCCGGAGGCCAGTCCAAGCCAAAGTCCGCAGGGCTGGCGGGTCTTGACAGCGAGGCGGTGCGCCGGTGGGTCGCGGAGGCCACGCGGACCGTCCGGCAGGTTCCTCCATGCATGGTCGTGCCTGCCAGTTCGCCGCAGCAGCAACAGCAACATCATCGTCAACCGCAGCAGCATCATCATTCCGCTCACAGGAGTCAGCGTCAGGAGCCCAGCCCACCGTCGGTGGGCATCGCGTCCTTCGTTCTGCCGGCCTCGATGACGCAGACCCCCAGTATGCACCTGCTGGAGAACAACAACTTGGTCGAGGTCGCCATGGCCCAGCAGCAGCAGCAACAACAACAACAACAACAACAACAGTCCCAGCAACAGTTGACGCAAAAGCAGAAGCAAACGAGTCCCACGAACAATAACACCATAGAGGCTTGGAGATCGATTCAGGGTGGGCATCAATGGTGGAGTCCGTCCGCCAGCGTTCATCAGGAACAGCAGCAGCAGCAGCAGCAGCCGTCGATCGTCCAGGTCTCGCAATCGCCGAGTCTGGTGGTCGGATCAGTGTGCGGCCAGATACAGAGGCATCATCCGCAAGTGCAATCGGACATTGATCAGCCTCTGGACTTTTCTGTCGGCTCTCTGCAGCAGCAGAGGCTGCATTCGCGCGCGAGGACTATACACGAGAGAGTAAGTAGGATGCACGACAACAACAACGGCACCGTGAGCAGCCAGAAGATCATCAGGGTTGACGTTAGAAGACAAAGCAGCAGCCCAAGCGAAGCCAGCACCAGCAGCAGTGAGGATGAGGGTGTCTCCACCGGCGGCAGCCCTTCGGGACCTCTTCGGGGTGCTTCGGGTGAGTGTCAGTCAGATTCGCACGTAATTCATTCAAATACGGAATTATTCGCCATGATTCGATGTGTGATTATAGAGAGGATAGGAAGAGATTCGCCGAAAACAAGAATTAGCTACCATATAGTTCAATTTTAGCTGTTTGTTCATATATTAAATATGACATTTAGTTATCACGCTCAAATTTTAGCTATGACAGCTAATATTTTTTAGCTAAACATTCTCCGTTAAACTATGGCTAAAAATATTATTAGTTGCCGTAGCTAAAATTTAGGCACGACAACTAAATTTCAGATTGTGATACATGGACAGCTAAAATTTAGCTACGGTAGCTAATTCTTTTTTTCCGTGTTCCATTATTTAATTATTTTATTGAATAATATATAATTTATAAAATATGAATATATGTTCATGATTAATGTTCGCAATTAACGTAAACTCGAAAATTTTTTCACCGTAAGATATGTATAAAGTACTGATTAATTCAAACTAAATGAATCAGAGTGACGTTTTAATTCCGCCGAGTATAAATGTAGATTAGATCTCATTATCATTTATCTTGCGCGGTTAATTTCGTTATTAAAAGCAATATGCATATAGCGTGTAGATACGACGAGATGGATACAAGCAAGTATCTGTCTTTATCGCAAGTTTCTCCTTTCGTTCAATCGACTGAAAGTATTGCGATAATCAAACAATTTTCCCTCTTACGCAATGGAATAAAAAATTATTCAACAATTCGAATTATTATCCGATTAAGCAAAAATATAAAATGAAACACTTATAAGATACTTGTGAAGCAACGGGCAGAAATCGTGCGTTTTCTGAAAAACGTTACGTTCGTCAGCTGTCAGTGCAGTCTGTCCTCTTCTTCCCCTCTTTCCTCCTCCCTCTGGCCCCTGTTCTCGACGCCCCCGCATTGCATTGTTGCTTTCCGTGGCTGCATTGTGCATCAAGGCATTGTATGGGCCGTGCGACCCCCAATCGCGAGAAAACCGATTTATCTGAAACGGCCGGATTTTGCATTCACGCATCTCTCTCTCTCTGCATGCAGAACACGCGCCAATTGTGAGTTTGGGACGAATTTACGTCTTAGGGTAAATTTATTTAACGTTTTTTATTTTATTTTAAGAGGAAAAAACCGATATTCTGCCATTTTTTTACTGCTGCATATAATTTTTAACGTGAGACGTATTCAGTATTATTTTCTTATTGCATCTCGAAAATAAAAAAAACAATAACTTATTAATATTTGATACATTAGATACTAGATTTTACATACACAAAAATAATTTAATTTATATATTATTTATATGAATATAATTTACATAGCGTCAGATAATTATTCGTAGATTCCATTTTATTTGAGATGATATATTAACACCAGTTCAAAAAAGAGTCCAGATCCTATTAAGAGCAACAAAATTGTTTTCAATGACTCTTATATTAATTCTTTTGCTTACCCAAATTTATTATATCGGAGGCAGCGTCTTCAACGTATGATTTTATATTACTTATTTCTTTCTGTCTAATATTTTACGTTATAAATCTTTTTCCACAAATAAATATTAATGAAGGAACTTAATTACCTCTTATTGCTTTTTATATGTATATTAATTTTTTAAAGAACTGTTACAAATTATATTACTTAAAACGCTTCCTTCTCATCCTGATGACGATGACTAACCGATTTGCTATCGTGTCAATGCGCATTCGCGTATTTATAAAATTAGTCCGAATGCTATCTACGTTAAGGTTGAACTTGAGGTTCGATATCACGCGCGCATCAACGGATCAGCTGACTCATCGTCGATCGCTTTGGCGGTAATTTTCCCGCCAAGACACTGCGATCGTGTAATTTCGATCGACAATATCGATGTATGATGAATGTGTCTTATTTGGACGTGCTAATTTATTAATAAAATTGCGGGTTTATTAATATCGCGCGTTTCTGCTCTCGATTCAGAATTACTAGTTTCTAAATAAATTTTCATGGATTCATGGATCGTAATTTTTCCAAAAATCGAGTCAACAATAAATGTGCTAGAATTTTATAGTCAAATTATTATCTGTTAATCTCCGTTTACATGATTGTCGCTCTATATATTTTTCTTATATTGATATGATCATTAATATATATTAGATATTTATCATAGCCTATATTATCACACGTATTCCAATAAAATTCATTAGGAAATGCGTTATTAGAACAGATAATCGCGATGATAAAATAGATGGAAAAATATATTGATTAAGATGGGGAAAAAGGGAGACGATTATATATCTGCCAAGAGAACGTAATATAATTTTTATACAAACTGTCTCTATTAACCGCGATATGCGAGGCGATAAATCGAAAATTAATAACGCGGATGATGTTGTTAATGTACGTTGATCAGTCGCGATAAGCATTAGATCCGAGAAATATAGGTAGAAAAATTGAATCGGCCATTTGATACTATTGATAAAAATACGATATAGCTTTAGTCGGTCCAGTGTTGTTAATCTATAGCAATTACGCGACGTCTATGTATTTCTCGTACCTGTTATCGAGGAGAGAGAGAGAGATTATCCACACGATAAGCTCGCCTCTCTTTCACATGCACCAATATTGCAAAAAAAAACGTAAATAAATAAAAATGCAAATACACACGCGCTGCAAACTGGAAGAAAAAAAGCGTTATCTGTCGATAACATTTTCTCTCTCTCTTTCAGCTCTAATATTTGTTTGAATAAATATTCCACGTAGACTCGCGTGATTGCATAGTTATTTTCGGAAATCGTGACGCAAAAATCACACTTACCGATGTATTTTCGTCTCGCGAGTAATTATTGGTTCGTAAAATATCAATAATTATATTAAAAAATGATTGAAAAAGGAAAGGTCGTATAAAATGATGCGTGTTTTAGCGATATATACAAGAATTTATCTCTGACACGCATACAAGGGGAGGGATAATCCTCGGGAAAAAAAGAATAACTTTTAATGTGTTTCTCGGTTATAAATTATCCTGATTATATCTACTCCCATTTTTGATGGTATTCATAATCAACGATGATGATTCCGCGTCTCGTCCTTGATGAAAATGCGCATAAGGCGTAGATGGAGTGTATGGGCAGGTACCCGTTTCACGTTGGATACCTTGGAGGACCTGTTCCTGTACTCGAGCCCGGACGCGTATTACGATGTAACCTGATACGATGTTTGATTCTATGTTATTTACGAGCAGGTGGATCGCCCCGCAACAATGTTTATCGGCGTAATTAGATTCTATACACCCTAACGCAATCTTTATCACACGTCGATGAGTCGACGAGTCGCGGCGAAAATCATGCTTCTCAGAGATACACGCGCGGCTGCGCGATATAATAATAATTTGCCCGAACATCGATCTACTTGTACATTAATTTCTTATTTGTCATCTTTGCACGCTCTTTTTCCGCCTATTAATTTAGATTCGAAAAAAAAATATCGCAAGATCATAATTCGGATATTCGACTGTTTCCTTCAAAGCCCACTTTACACGATCTATATATAATTCGCGACAGAATTCGGGACTAAATTTCATTTATAATTTTATGTGTCAAATTATGAATACAATTATTCGTGAGACAAAATTTTTGTATTATTAATTTGATTTAAAATTATGTATAAAATATTTGATTGTAATTGATAGATTTACTACATATAAACAAGGATATTTCTTATATTCACTTAATAAACATGTAACTTGTTCCCGAGACCAAGACTGTCACGTATATTTTTCTTCTTTTTCTGTTTTAAATTATTAATCAAATACGAAAGGTTAAGTTGTAGTTTATGTCATTTACAATTCACCAATCACGAATATTTGTACACTACGCATATTTCATGCGTCTTTTCTATTCATAAAAATAAAAATAGAGCATTCTACTTATAATTTGAGTGTCACGTGTTTTCTGTTTTACACGATGCATAAAATTAATAAATAAAATTCTGTCTCGAATTTTGTCGCGAATTTAAAATTGTGTAAAGTGGGTTTCATATATTTATACATAGAAAACAATTAAATTTGTTCTACAAGTATTGGGATATCAATTTTTCTATAAAAAGGTTGTAGAAATATAAAATCATTTAATTAGAAATTAAATCTAAGAAATCTAAAATTATTTCATTGTAAAAATCTAAAATTATTTAAATGCAAAATATGTAATTTTTTATAAAAATAAAAATTCGAAAAATATCATTAAATTTCTTCGATATAATTCCAAATTATAGAAATACAAAATTTTTTAAAATAATTTTAGAATGAAATAAATGACTTTTTAAATTTCTACAATTAAAATATGTATATTAATGAGACGTGAATATCAAAAGGAAAATAAATTAAAATCATTTTCGTCTTTTCTCATGAATATTAATAAAACTTGTCTTTCTTTCTCCGTATTAGTATTAATAACGTATACCCGCAATAATCACATATAATTATAAAGCAATTTAAGATGTTTTATAAGGGGAATGTCTTTACGCGCGCGCGTTTCCGCTTATTTGCGCTTAATTTAGCCGAAGGTACACACGAATCCCTTTGATGTGGGGCTCTCGCGGCGTCTCTGAATCATCCTTATTGGGATCATCTTTTTCATCGTGTGATCGCATCCATTAGCTATATATCGCCAGGAGCCGCCGTCCGAGTTTCTTCCTTCATTAGCGTTTTCTGTGATCCGCTCTCGAGCGCCGTCGGATCACTCGCGTGCGGAAAATTAGACGGACCTCTTCTCTTCCGATTCGTGAGGGTACTCGAGTACTCACCGGGAGTACTCACGGAGAGAGAGAGAGAGACAGAGAGAGAGAGAGAAATACCTATACTCGCGCGTTTTTCGCTTCAGTGATTCTTCGGAGCTTCGGAAGAGATGCGTCGATGGAAATTCCGCGAAATCCATTCTCGTCCGGAACGAGACCCGAGACCGACCCCGAAGGATCTCGCTATTTAGGTAGCCATTTTCCTCCTGATGTGTCTGAGAGCC